CTTTCTCTCTCTCTCTCTCTCTCTCTCTCTCTCTCTCTAATTAGTCAACTTCCCATGTCAGGTACCACTATCCTCACTGCCATCAAGTCCACTGTGAGCCCCTCGACCCAAGTGGTCTTCGAAGAAAACCCAAGTGCGAGCTCCCTTAAGGGCCAGGACTATGATTACGCTGTCGTGGTTGTGGGCGAGACCCCTTACGCCGAGACAAACGGTGACAGCATGAATCTGACCATGCCCGAACCCGGTCCCACAATCATCAAAAATGTGTGTGGATCAGTGAAGTGCGTTGTTGTGGTGATATCTGGAAGGCCTATTGTACTCCAGCCTTTCCTACAATATATTGATGCATTGGTTGCAGCTTGGCTTCCTGGTACTGAGGGCCAAGGAGTGGCTGATAATCTCTTTGGGGACTACCCATTTACTGGAAAGCTTGCTAGGACATGGTTCAAGAGTGTAGACCAATTGCCCATGAATGTAGGTGATAAGCACTATGACCCATTGTTTCCTTTTGGTTTTGGGCTCACAACTGAGAAGACTTCAAGGTAGAGAAACTGGGAGTTTGTGTCTTGTAAGTTGGGGTGATGGGGATTAATCACTTATTTTTTCTGAGAATAAGTGGGGGGAATATTGATGTAAAGGATGAGGAATATATTTTAATTTATTGAGTTTTAAAGGAAATGAATGAGTTATTTATATGCATTATTAAGTAAAAAAGTTTGTTGACTTGCTGAGTTCTCTTACAACATTAGAAGTTAGATTACTAAAAGGGAATTCATCATAATGTATCCAAAGTTTATCTATTTAATATTTTATCTTATGTATAATATAATAAACCTCAAAATTCATTTGGGCTATTCCAAATTTGATCAAAAGAATGATTGGCAGTGTGAAATTAGAACATAAAATATGGATAGAGATGTTAAATAGTTCAAATCGTAGATGCGGTTTGATAAATTTTCCACTATTAATATTAGAACATTAAATATGGGTAAATTGTTAAATAGTTCAAATCTTAGATTTTATTTAATAAATTTTTCATGGTTAAGAGATACAAAGGTTAATGTTAATATAGACTAAATTAGGGGAATATAAATTCATTTTAACCCTTCTTATAAGCAAGGATGGTGAGAAGGGGAATAAGGCTAAGAGTGAGAATGTAAGGTAACCTAAAAGATTCCATGTTTAACAAGGTAATAGCTTGTACAAGGCTGAGGCTCTAAACAATTAAAAAGTAAAAGGTACTTTCAAATAGTGTCGAAAGATGTTGTTTTACTGAAAAAAAACTTGGTTTAAAAATTTATTTTTATCTCTAATTATGAAGTTTCAAGTTTAAAAAATAATGTAGATAGAGTAAATCTATAAACACTTGAAAATCTTGAGATTTTGACGGTCTAGAAAATGCTTTACATTATCCACTATTTCCAAGACTAGAAAATCCATTTTTTCTCATCTTTAGAAGATTGATTTGAGGATTTTTGGGCATTGAAACAAACTCTTCTAAATTTTTTAGATGTTTAGGGCCTCACTTTTATATAAACTTTTTCCTATTTAAAATGGCACTCATATTTAAACTCTCTTTGAAACAACAAATTACCATAGGAGAAAAAAAATCCCCAATTGCCCTTCCCAAGGGTAATTGAAAATGTCATGAAACTCATATAGTATCTCTAAAGACATGTTTGTCTGGAAAAAGTTCTAGCCTTAAAAGCCAAAACTTCCCATTTTTTTTCCTCTGTTAGGGGCATGTAAGGGGTGACTTCTATTTTTTCCCCAACTTTCAGAACCTGAATTTCCGAAAGTAAGGAAAAATATAAAAGCCTCCCTTTCCCTCTATGAAGCCAAAACTCTTAGACGTTTCAGTTTTGGAAACTAGAACTTCCTCCGAAACAAACACGCCCTTGAACAATGCTCTGCGCTCTGTACTCGTCGTTTGAGGGTAAATAGAAAATGAGTAATTAATCATTAAATCTAATATTTATTGCTTTCCCTAACTACATATGGGATTATCTCAACTTACAAAGAAAACTACATATGAAAAAGAGACAGACATATGAACATATATGTTTAGTAGCACGTGGTTATAATCAAGCTCAAACTCACATATAATTTTTTCTCAAACTTTATCCTAATGGACAGATCTCACATCCAATAGCTATGACAATTATGACATGCTTTTACCAAAATACAAATGATCTTGCAAACTTTAGTAGGGGTAGAAACGGGTCGGGTCAGGTCCCGATGGACTTGGACCTAGAAAATTGATATTGGACTCGGATGTGGACCCAACTGTTGGGTTTATGTGGCCTTTAAAGGTTTTATGAGTACTTGTAAAATGAAATGATATAGTGGAATATGAACTCAGTGGGAGTGTAATCCCTCGTGGACCATATTAAACAAACGATGTTTGTAGATACCGGATTGTACTTGACGATCTAGACCAATCGATTGGGAAAAACCCATATTACCTAGGCATAAAGAACAAATCGAAAAGGGTTCGAATGTGTTAGCCCTTGATGAGGTCAGAGAATATGCCTGGATGAGTGAGCCGAAGGACTGTGTGACCTTTGTGTGTGATGGTAGCCTACAGAGATAGGGGCCAAAACCTCATGTACCATCACATGGCATGCATATCGATAGATCATTCGGGAAAGCCAGAAATCCACCTTTTAGGGTGAAGCGTATGCATATACGAGAGATACCCATATGCGTTATAGAGCTATGGTCGCATAAGGTCTTAGTGACGTTGACTTGTCTCTAAGGGAGGACCTGATATCCACAGACTGGGATTGCGATTCTTTGGCTCATCGGCTGGACTTTGGTGACCCGCTAATGAGCCCCTACTTGAACTGTGGGTCATGGGAAACACTAGATAGGTCTGATAAAACAAGTGTAGTCTGTGATCTGTAGTCTACAGTTGAAAGTGGAGTGCCCCATGATTGTTGATTCCTAAACCATATGGATCTTTTTCCCATCAAATTAATTTAAATGTATTTATTTTATAATGAAAATTATTTTAATATTAGTATTTGAATTTTTATGAACCCCTAGATATTTTATTTATAATTTTTTTTATTTATAAAATTAAAGATATCGATTTTACATATTCAAATAATATTTTAAAATCTTTTTATTAATTTTAAATATATAAAAATATCATGGGGGCCCATTGTGTACATGGGCCCGTCATATTTTTTAGAAGGTGGGGTCTATGAGTGCCTCCCTTGGGTGGCACACCTCACCCTTATTTTCGTTCTTATTTTTTGACGATATGGCATGTGGCCATATAGTTGGAAGATATTGACTAAATATTGATTTGATATATCTTTGAAAGATTTTGTGGAAAGATTGAGTAGACTTGTGCTATTTTATGATATGCACAATATTTTGATTAGATTTAATTTATTTAATTTTTGGAAAAATGGTTTAGGAAAGGGGGATAATGGTTTATGTATCTTCCATAATGTTAATAACCTATCTATGGAATGGATGGCTCAGATCTCTCACCCCACAAGTCATCATTGATCGACGGTCTATGTTCAATCTCACAATAAGAGGCAAGCCTAAGAAACCCTAATATTATTCAAAGCCTATAAAAAGGGATTGTCTCTACCAAAAAATCTCTACACCTTATCTTTCTATCTCTATCTTAAGAAAGTTTATTTCTCTCATGTTTGATCTCTTTGTAGGGTTTAGGTTATGGAGTTCTTCTCTCCTATTTCTAAAATATGGACTTATCACTAAGGGGTTTAAGGTTTAACAAAAAGAGAATCCATCTTTCTCAAACTAGGTTACTAAGAGAATTCACCAAGAGTTTGAGCTTGTGATGAAAGGGGTTCATGTTCCATTGGTGTGGCTTGGCCGAAATTTGCTTTTTCGATTCTAGATTGAAGTTAGAAAGTTGATCCCACGCCATCGGATGGTGGTGACGTGACTCGGTGTGACACTCGGTGTGGGGTGTAATAAGCCCGGTTGAGATAATCTCTGGTACTTTTCCTTTTGTTTCTTGCAATCTTATTTTTTATTCTCAAGCATAGTGCATAGTTGTTTCAATGACATCAAGTTGTTAAGATTTTGGTTTTATTGTTATGTTGATTTTATTTTGAAATTTATCTTATTATAATAAAGACCACCGGTAAGTGATTTTTTGCCAAAAGAAAAGGGTGAAAAAAAAAAGTATTTCCCGGCAAAAGATCACAAGTCTTTCTTTCATAACTGAACCCAAATTCATTGGATCCAAACCCAGACCCAAAAATATAATGGGGGACCTAAAACCGAACCAAAACTTAAAATATCTATATATGTAACTATATTCAAATATTTTTCATATATTGAAACCTGAAAAATATTACCGTACTCATACTCAGAACTCGACTCAAACCTGGACCCGAATAGTGTTCAGGTCCAAAATTTAGACCTGAAGCTAACCCGTCATCGGGTCTAATATTTGGACCTATAGCCGGACCCAGATTGGTTTTTCCCATTAGAACCCAGGTTGGGTCCGGGTCCGGGGGTAAGTTCAGACATGTTTGCTCACCTTACTCGTTGATGTAGAAATAACAAAGTTGACCTCCCGAGAAGTACTTGTGTCGCACCCCTTTTAAAATTCATCAAAAATTAGAATTAGCAAAGTTGACATATATAAAACCCTATTTATCTAGACAGAGAGAAACATGGATGAAGTGTATGTGAATAGAAAGAAACAGGGATTTTTCCGAAGAGAGAGAAATACGGACAAGGAGTTTATTCAAAGTCACCTATTTGGTTATTTAAGATTCTCTCTCTAGTTTACCTGAAGAGAGAGAAACAGGGATTTATCTGAAGAGAGAAATACGGACTAGGTGTTTATTGGAAGTTACCTATTCGGTTATTTAAGATTCTCTCTAAGTTTATGTTTTGTAAGTTCATCATCTTTCATTCTTCGGTGTCTAAGACTGTATCTTCCGTCAATCTCTCTCTCTATAAATGTATTTACCCATTTCTATTTACTTGGATAAAGATTTTTACTATGATATCCTTCTTTTTTACCCCTCTATAAACGCTTTCTCTGAGGTAAAAGCAATCTCTGACTTAAAGGTTTGTAAGCTTTCTTTCCCATTGCAAAGGCAAAGGATGCTATTTTTGAGTTTCAAATTTTGTTGTCGAGGTTGGAAATTGATTTTAGAATCATTATGGAGATTTTTATTGCCAAAAACATTTGTTAAACAATGATTTGAAATGGGGCTTTATTTTATCTTTATAAAGCTCAGGCTTTGTCAAAACGTTATCCACAAAATTATGTCACCCGTGAAAAAATTATCAAAACACTCCTAAATCATTTACTCTTTCTGCTTCCTTACACTCTAAATGGTCAGGAATCAAAGGGAAGTTATCCGCGAAAACTACCTACTTCCCAACCTAAAATTTCTAAATTTAGATAATACAAATATCAGAATAATTACAATGAATAAAATATATAAAAATTAACAACTATGTTAAACTTTAAGATAATACCAATATCAAAGTTTGAAAAATCAAAATGAACAAAATATATAAAAGTTTGATTTTTCATTTGGACTGCCAAAAATAAGGTCAAATTTTGAGTATTCATGAACTATCTAAGTATTCAAATGGCATTAGACTTTTACTTTTTCAAAATAGAATAATAAATAAAAAATTATATAATATACCTACTTATTTCCATGTTTAGAACTCTATTATAACAAAAAAAATTACCTCAAATTACCCATAAAAAATTACCCAAACTCTCCTAAATCCTTCACTACTATGTTTTCTCTCCCGCCAAAATTTCAAAAGTCAAAGAGAAAATCTCCACAAACTAATATTTTCAAACCTAAATTTGCTAAATTAAGGCATTTGGTAACGGTTAAGTCAGGATTTTAGAAAAAAGAGAGAGAGGATATTTTGCCTTAACTACCCATAGAAAATTACCCAAATTCTACTATATCCTTCACTACTATGTTTTCTCCCGCTCCAAAATTTCAAAAGTTAAAAAAAGAAAATCTCCCCAAAGAATATTTTTAAACCTAAATTTGCTAAATTTAGGCATTTGGTAACGGCTAAGTCAGGATATAAAAACAACAATGAAAGATATTTTGGTCATTTTACCTCCAAACGGTTAGAAAGTTTAAATGAGGCAAATGAGGTTGTTACATGTGCTTGCAACTATAGTTAAATAGGAGTCTGTTTTTTATGTGATAAAACTAGAATAGAAAAAGAGAGAAAATGCAGTTCTCATGAGGTGGATTATACAGAAAAATATGGAACTTTAGTAAGATTTTAAATTTTGTTGCCCTTATTTTCTACATTTCAAACTGTAATGGCTTGAAGTTGTTGTTCTCACTTCCACCTAGTACTTTTGGTGGAAAGACCAAACTATTTTTTTGGATAAAGTAAACCATTATCTTTTAAGTAATGATCTTATAGACCTTCTCTCACTCATGTAGATAGAACATCAAATGATCACCATTAAAGTTGGCACAGAACTCTAAAAAAGTTATCACATGGGTGTGGGATTTTACTTTTTTAGATATCCGTATCAACTTTAATGGTGATCTTTTGGGGGTCCTACATACATGGGTGGGAGAGGGTCCTATAGGATTATTTCTCTTATCTTTTTGAAAATCAAATAGGTATTTTTTATTTAAGTGATGATTCTATAGGATCCTCTGCCACCCATGTGTGTAGGAACCCAAAAGGTCACCATTAAATTTGATACAGATCCCTATAAAAGTTATCACATAGGTGTAGGACTTAACTTTTTTAGAGATGTATGCCACATTTAATAGCGATCCTTTAGGGTCCTACACACATGGGTAGGAGAGGGTCCTATAAGATCATTTATCGTCGTACACAAATACATACATCATCTTCAGAGCCTTTTCCTAAGGAAAATTGTTTCATGTGGGTTGGAACATCGCATCTCTACATATGCGATCCACAAAGTGTAAAGCATCCACCTTAATGATAGATGCAAGGAGGTGTTCCATCTAAAAACAATGGAAAATAGGTGTTCCATCTAAAAACAATGGAAATAACGTCCAAATGTTTTCTTACTACAATTATTATTTCTAATTTTTAAAATTTATTTATTTATTCATATTCACGTTCACCATGTTAGATATTACATGTCCTTAAATATTAAGTCTTAAAATCCATCTCAAAAATATATTTATTAAGAGGCCCGTATTTATGCGTAGGCTTGGCCGCATGGAAACCGGGTCCTTTTCTTAATTATAAAGAAATAAATGATTATTTTTTCAATTGGCTTACAAATACATATAAACATCGACACACACAATGGATTATGTGGAATGAGTATCCGTTATGATCTTCAATAAATGTGTATTCTCTTATAATGTACCACATTAATCCTGAAGAAATAAATGATTTACTATTATTACTAAAAAAAAGTACTGCTTTATAAAATCACACATCCAATAAACTGGAATTTTTGTCTCATAAAACTTGTAAATTGATCGCCTAAACCTCGTTAATCATGGAAGGTCTTAAATGCAGAAACAATCTCCCTTGCAACACTTATTACTTAAGGGTACGGTTTCCATAGAGCCTAGGCTCTAAACAATCAAATCAAAGCCTACTTTCAAATAGCGTCATAAAAATGTGGCTTCAATATTGGAAGTCCTTATGATAGCCTTAAAATAGATTTTCATCTTTATTTATAAAGTTTAAAGCTTAAAAAATATAGTGGATCGATACATCAATAAAAACTTAGAAATCTTGAAAATTGATGGTAAAAAATGCGTTACAAAATACCCTATTTTCAAAACTTGGAATCTGTTGTCCATGCATCTTGATTTCGAGATGATCAATTGAAGATATTTGAACATCAAAACAACCACTTCTAATAAATTTTTTGAGATAGGCTCTAATACGATTGTTTAGAGCATCGGCTCTATATAAAATTTTCCCATTATGGGTTTCTTCGAAATATCTTATCTTATGGAAACTAGAAAAGTTTGTCAAAATCCCGACAAGAGGTGAACTATTCAACATTGGGCCTATTTGTAACTATTCCAACTCAAAGTATTTATAAGTAATTTAAAATTAAATAAAAACATATAAATAAAGTGCTCAATTGTTCATATTTCATGCTAATATGATAAGTTTTCCTAAAAATTAAGATCTCTACTTTATATCCCTTACTAGACCACAAAAAAGATGAAAGTTGAAAGGGCATTTCAGAAAGGGATTGTTGGACATTTTAGTAAATAGGCCCAATTGAGTGCTGTAACGGCTAGAAATCCACTAAACAGGACACATGGTCATTGCAACTTTTATAGAGAAGAAAAGAAGAAGAGATTAGTCAATGTTGTTTCAAAGCGGCCTGTAAATTTGGTGGCTCTGCAAATTTGTAACAGAAATGGCATTTGTTTGGAAAAACCACTGCTTACTCTAAATCCCTATTATTATCCAATTATTCTCCCAAATCCCTAAACTTTCTCTATAAATATACCCTCTCCCTTTCAATTCATTACGCTCTCTACCTTCCAGTCATTCCCCCCTTCAAAAGTGTTAAACCCCACAAACCAGTTTTGCACTCTTCTTACCATATGTGAATTCTCTCTCCTTCTCTCTAACTTGGTGAGGCTAATGCCATTCCTATCTCTGTCGAGATTTTTTGATGTTAATGGCATTATCCTTGCCTTGTTTTCCAAATGTGATATGGGTTAGGCTTGGTTTTCTTTCTGCGTTTTTTTTTTTTATGGTTGAGAAAAATAGCTCATTTCATTGTCTTTTTTTTTCAAATGCTGATATGGGTTGGTTTTTGTTTATTTATTTATTGATTGGGTGGCCAGAATTGCTCATTTATCATACGTTTCAATTTGTGCCTACCACCTAACCTCTTCCAAATTAACAAAAGGGGAAAAAATGTGAGTACTGTCTTTTTCTCTCTGTACATTTAGTTAGATGAATGCATGTTATAATGGGTATGGGATTAGATTATTGGTTTTGGGTTTCTGTTCAAATGTGTTATATATCTTGGGTTCGGTTTTCTGAGTTTTGAGAGCTACTTTGGTTCTATCTTTCAAGGATCTTATTATGTGGGTATATTTTCGTTTTTTTTTCCTTGTGTTAATGTATGTTTTATTTGACAATGGCCTAAGTTTCTTCTGGTTCTATAGATTTTTTATGTGCAAATGTTCTCTTTGCTCATTTCTGTTTAGCTAATATATTGTTTAAGCAACTACTGAACAGTGCTTTTTGTTCTCTTGTCTTCCAGTTTTTTAAGTTACTGTTTTGTTGGGTTCTATATTATTTTGATCTTTATGGTGTTTCATGATTGATCTTCCTAGTGTTTTCTATTTCTAATTTGGATATTTTTTGTGGATCTTTTCTTCTACCTTGTCTTTTCTCTTTCTAATGATTTTTTCTGAGTAATTACCAAAAGAAAGGATTTTTACTGAATGCCCCAATCTCTGGGTATATCTTGGAGTTTTTGGCAACAGTAGATTGGCATAACATGTAAACAGTTTCCTTTCTTTTCTACATTTTCCTTTCTCTCTGGATTTTCCAGATATTAACATACGTCAACACCCTCCGCATTTCCTCAGCTTATTCTTTATCTCTTAGTTGTCTCTCTCTCTCTC